AACAGGTGAAACTGCTCTTTGACGTAATAGTAAAACTCATATTCATATTTCATTCGCTGGTACAGGATCTGTATGGCTTCTGGAGAAGGGACGGTCTTTTTCACTGTCACAGTCAGATTGCCAAGTTTCCTATGCTCTGTAAGAAATTTACACACATGTGCAAATATGACTCTGGTCAACATCTGTACACTAAACATATCATGTATAAACAGCATTAAGCCACTAGTTAACTAACAGAAATAAATGGCAGAAAAGTGACTTCCCCTTTCCTCATTATTGTGTTAAAATTGTCAGCAACTTTTAACTTTGTGTTTTTGTGTGAGGAACCATGTTGCCCTCCTCTTCTAGCAGTTTTCATGTCCCTTCTCCCATAAAAACAAAGCTCTTAGACAGCTAAGCCTTACTTACATAGGTTGCAAACGCTTCAAAGAAGAGATCTTGATTTCATGATTTGATTATGACACAATTCCATTGTCTAAGAAAAAGATTTATCTCAGGTTACCCTGGACTATGACTAGAACTGGGGTGTCTGAGCGTGTTGAAGGGTAACTACTCTGTATTAAGGAATCATTATAGGGATGCCAAGCCTCCTGCCTTGTTCTTCTGGAGGTGCTGGCAGGAGGGAATGGGGTGGGGAAGGCCAGGTGCACCAGCGTTGTGTCAGGGCACCTACATCCTTTTGAAAAATGCTAGAGTGTCTGCCATGTCACTTCCAGTTTTTACCAGAAGTGACATAAATGTACAGGCATGATGCTGTGTGTGTGTGTGTGTGTGCTGGCTGTGGTCTAGAAGATCTTGATTATATGCTCCTAGCATTGCACTAATGGTGTCAGGTCTCCCAGGTAAGACACTCTCCACAACACACTTAAGCAGTGGTAGTTGGCAGGAGGGAATGGGGTGGGGAAGGCCAGGTGCACCAGCGTTGTGTCAGGGCACCTACATCCTTTTGAAAAATGCTAGAGTGTCTGCCATGTCACTTCCAGTTTTTACCAGAAGTGACATAAATGTACAGGCATGATGCTGTGTGTGTGTGTGTGTGTGCTGGCTGTGGTCTAGAAGATCTTGATTATATGCTCCTAGCATTGCACTAATGGTGTCAGGTCTCCCAGGTAAGACACTCTCCACAACACACTTAAGCAGTGGTAGTTTATTGAGATATGCTTACTTTTAGAAACATGCTCTATGTCAGAACTGAGAAAAAGTGTGAAAAATCATAGGTAAGGCAATCTCATGCATACGTTATCATCCAGCCCCTAGGTCACTATGGCAACCCTGACAGATATACAGCACCTTATCTATTCTAGCATGGCAGAAGAGTCTCCAAAGTCAGCTCTCCTGGGTACTGACGTTGGGGCACAGCTTAAAGGAATGGTTATGGCTACTACAAGCATTCACTCTCAGCACACCATACACTCCCCTCAGGAATTCCCTCTCCCCAATACTACGGCAAGCAGTGAAGTGAATAATAAACAAATGACTGAAGCTTGACAAATGGTAAGTTTCAGAGATGAGTGTGAGAGAGCAAACACTCCTTTGTAATCCTTCCTGCACAGAATAGTTGCTGAAGAGCATCAACAGAACTATTTGATGATTAAAAGGGGAGCAATATGCAATATTACTGGAGTGTGGAGCAAGGAAGCAAAGGCCTTGCTGAGATTCCCTTGAAACCTCTGGTTTGAGCATGCATTCTTTTCCTCTGGAGGCCCAGAAATTCTAGTAAATAAAGAAGCACGTGAGCAGCTACAGTTAGGAAATACTTTTGAATGCAGCAAATTGGAGAAAGCTGGAATGTGCATCAAGATTCTTGGTTGTGAGATTTCCACACCGACTTTTATGTCTAACATCCAATTGTTCTGTGAAATATTTGTATAGTGAGAAGCAAATTCTGCACGATGCTTCTCACAACGTCTCTTACAGAAAGTCCCTCCCTTAATTATTATGGCACAATTTAGGCTCCTCTCCTCCCAACTCCTTATTTTGCTTCCTAATAGTGATATCTTTTTTATGCTTTACAGTAAGCATCTTTCTATAAATCTGAAGGCAAAAAACCCCCCAAACTCAAACCAAACACCCTTGGTCATTTTTGCCAGCAATGCTCCTTTGCCCTTATAGATTTACACAAAACTAGCACAGTTTCTAGACTCCACATTATTGCTTTCTCATTTGTTTACATTATTTTATACACTCTTTAAAAGCCTCTTTTAATAAAAAATCTGAAGTAACTCACAAATTTGCTCCTTGAAGCTAACTAAACTCTCACCCTTCCATCTATCAACTGCACATAATGGAAAAATTATGCATGCCTGGCTCTGAGCCAGACTAAACACTCTAAAAATGCTGTGTAAACCCAGCTGTTCCACCAGAAGGAGGGGGGGACCCACACTTTATGACCTTCCAGACAGTTAGCCATATGGAGGGCAACAAACTGCACTATTTACTTTCAAGACTTTATTTTTGTTTTACTGTGTTTGCTTTGGCTTTCACTTTAGTTCTTTTTTAAAAAGTGTACTGTAGTACTGTGACCAGGAGACACTTAAACCAACTGAAGTACAGCTTGCCCTTCTGAAATCTAAACTGGAATTAAAAGTGGAATGGAATCACGGGAGGCGGGAAAAAATAAATAAGGTAAAATGGTTACAAATATTTGTCAGGCAAAACCAAAAAACAAAATCACCCACTCACAGCAGTGGGAAAACAGGTTACACTGTAATAAATGTTATGTAGCCTTTGTTTCAAAAGGAAAAAAAAATCTGTGAGACTGCCTTGGTTAACTAAGCACATCTTTTCATAGTACAGGGAATTAAGGAAGCAGGAATATCAGTTCTAAACAAGCAATGTTACTATTTATCTGCTACAATTAGGGCTGCCGGCCCCCAGGTCTGGGCAGGGGTTCCCCCACTTCTGGTGGCTTTAATCCACCCCCAGCCAGCTGGCCACCAGGGAAGCCCCGCCCCCAAGAGCAACCACCAGCCCGGCCACCTGTCTCCCTCCCCCCTGCCTGATTTAAAGGTCTTCAGCTGATCAGCAGGGACCACATGGTCCCCACTGACCAACTGGAGGGCCCTTTAAATCAGTCAGGAGGGAGGGAGAGGGGTGGCCAGGTTGGTGGTTGCACTTGGGGGTGGGGCTTGGGGGCATCTCTGCCCACCCCCAGAACACCCCCCAAATCCTCCCGCTGGAGCAACAAGGGGACCTAGCAACCCTAGCTACAATACAATATTAATAAAATGCATGGTGTTTGTCCTCTGTATAATCCATCGTGTGCATTCACTAGGGGCTCACTTGGATCCAGTGAAAGAAAGAAAAAAGCTTTTTTATGTAAAGATGTGAAGCTTTACACCCAACTCCCATGGCTGGCAATCTCCCAGCACAGAGGTAAAAGACATAAAATATAAAGAAATATATAAAATACATTCATAGAAATGGGGTGTTCTGGCAGTGCATCCACATACAGGAAGTTCAGACTGAATATACCTTTCCTTACTAAGGGTCAAATTAAATATAATGGGAACATTTCCTGTGCATTTATTCATGTATCCACTATTTATATGAGAGCAGGGTCTACTCTTTGATTTATTTTCCTACCCTGCCTTACCTTGCTGCACTCTGTTGTTTGCAGTATTTTTCTCCTGGCCCAGTTCTGATATCGGAAGAAAACTGAGTTAGAAGAAAAATGATTTATTTTAAGCAATGGAGTGCGGCACACATAGGAAGGGGCCTGTTTTCTCTAAATTAGCTCTCTCTGCTTTGTATGCGACTGGTTAAAGATGTAAACAAATGCAAGGGGATGCCCTGTCAAGTTTCGTTTGGCTCTCGGAAATTGGTCTTCCTCAAAGTTGCAAAGACTGCTTTTCATTACAGTATGTTTTGTGGCCTGTTGAGTCTGCACAGCATTAGGTTTGTTCAACATTTCAGAGGCTAAATCTTTGCTTTTTTGTTGTTTGATGACATAATGTAAATGTTTGACTTTCAAAGCACTAGCATATCTCATTTGTTTTTCTTAAAATAACAAAATGGCAAATCTAAAGTGCATGTATGGCATTCAACAGTAAAGCACCATGTTACATATTAGCATTAATTATAGTTTCTTTCCTTTCTGAAGTTTATTGCTTAACTTTTTAAAATATTGTGTACCTTTATGACTTGGCTTGGGTGACCAAGACCTGGCTGAGTGAGGAGGATGTGGTTTCCCCTCATGGAATTAACAGCACCGGGTTCCCGTGTCCTTCATCTATCTTGAACAGAAAAATGGGGTGAGGTAGTGTTTCTTCTCCAAGATGTCTTTTCCTTCCAAAGGGTCCCCATGGCAAAGATCTCTGGCACTGAGTGTCTAGACCTGGTGTTGGAAGCCAGAGAGAGAGTGGGCTTTCTCCTGGTATACCATCCACGCCAGCTGATGCCTTGCTGAGACTGCCAGAGGCTGTGACTGACTGGTGCTGTGGTTCCCCAGGTCAGTGGTCCTGGAGGATTTCTATATCAAAGCAGAGGCTGCCTTGTCTGGGGGTGGCCTTGGGCTTCATGGCTGCCATGGCAACACTGGATCTCCCCCACGTTGTGTCGGCTCCTACCGTATGCACAAAACTGGTGACGTGCTAGATTGAATCTGTTGTGTGGGTGTTAATTTGGAGTTTACAGTCACTTGTGAACTGGTATTATGGTCAGATCACTTTCTCATTAGGGTCAAACTGAAAATAGCTGCCCTTCCCGTTTGGGCAGTGAGCTGATTTACACTCGCCCACAGAAATTTATGGATCCTATTGGATTCTAGAATGCTCTGCGGGATATCTCTGGGCCTGCTGGCAATTCATCAATAGAATTGCTCCCCAGCGCCTCTTCACCCTCAGTCCTTGGTGGCTCTGTGGTATAATGAGAAGCTAAGAGAGATGAAGAGGTCATTAAGATGGCTAGAATGTAAGCGGTGCCAGATTTGTAACAAAACTGAGAACATGTTACAGAGCCCAGTTGAAGGCCTATGAAGTGGGGGTGGAGGCAGCAAAGAGGAATTACTATTCTGCCTCCATTGCATCCACTAGTTCACGTTCAGCCCAATTGTTTAGATTGATATGACAGTTAACAACTTCTTTCACAGAGTCTAAAGTGTTAGATGACTTGGCCATTAGCTGTGTCTTATTTATA